GGTAGAATTTGCAATGTCCATCTCTAAAGTAAAATGCCAAAGCATGCAAAGTAGAAAAATGTGATCTATAATGAATAACCAAATATCCATCTTGTGTTATTTTCCTTGTGCCTGAAGAAATTCCTTTAACATTCTTTGATGTTCAGGTATACATATTGCCTTTATATCTTTTTAGAAAATATCAGGGAAGAATTTAGCCTATCGCTAATTTTACCTCACAGTTGAGGCAAAAATTTTCTGAGGACTCTACTTTTTTTTTTTAATATATTTTATTGATTTTTTACAGAGAGGAGGGGAAAGGGATAGAGAATTAGAAACATTGATAAGCTGCCTCTTGCACGCCCCCCACTGGGGGTGTGCCCGCAACCAAGGTACATGCCCTTGACCAGAATCAAACCTAGGACCCTTGAGTCCATAGGCCGATGCTCTATCCGCTGAGCCAAACCGGTTAGGGCAGGACTCTACTTGATACCTTGTGAATTACTAGAATTTCCATTCTGTCTGATGGGAATGGGCATTTGTTTTTACAGCCCTATGAGAGCTCAAAGGATCATTGCCTTTAAATCTTTCCAGGCATTTCTTTCCCCAGTCTCAAGTCATTATCATAGGTGCATGTACTAATTCATATTCAGCTGGTAAATCATGGGAGACCCTTTCAGTCTCTGGAGTTCTTTCTCAATGCAACACTCCCCTCTTCCTCACTCTGCACTGCTGACTCTACTAACCTTGGCCTTCCCATTCTCCCCACTATGTCTCCTCAAACCATGGGTTCTCTCTGGTTTTCTTCTCTTGTGCTGTGACATGGAAATCCCCTCAGGCGGTAAACTGGGCTGATCAGAAAGCCCACCTTGTTTATTTCCTACTTCTCAGTTGTTGATCTCTTTTTTTTTTTTTTTAATATATTTTATTGATTTTTTACAGAGAGGAAGGGAGAGAGATAGAGAGTTAGAAACATCGATGAGAGAGAAACATCGATCAGCTGCCTCCTGCACATCTCCCACTGGGGATGTGCCCGCAACCCAGGTACATGCCCTTGACCGGAATCGAACCTGGGACCCTTCAGTCCACAGACCGACGCTCTATCCACTGAGCCAAACCGGCTTCGGCAGTTGTTGATCTCTTATTGCCTAATGTACAATGTCTTGAAAACCATTGTTTCATGTATTTTGTTCATTTATTTTTTGATGTTTGTAGTAGGAGAATAAATCTAGTCCAAGTTACTCTATCTTAGAAAAGAGTAAAAGTCTTAAAAATAGGCTCTTTTTTATTTGCCTAAATTTTAATATGTTTGATTTTTGTGGATGAGCAAGAAGATGCTTTTAATGAAACAAATTTACATTGGTATTCGTTCTATCTCTGATATTCATTTACTTACATAAATCCCACAGCTATGAGGCAAGTAGACAGCAGATGGTTCAGTTCAAATCAATTAATTTGAATGGTATGTGCTAAGAATAACTGGGACTACTAAAGTGTGTGTTCCAAAAAACACTGTTCTTTTACAGCAATCTTTATGATTTTGATAGTCCTTGAAAAAGTCCAACTTACATTCACCTTCAATATTTATCAAAATCATTAAATTTAGCATTTTGATTATATGTGAAGTCTCCAGTAAGAAAAATATTATTATTTTGTATTTAATTTATCAAGTATTTATTACTAGCATTTTTGAAGATGTCAAAAATATGGTTTTTTCATAAGCAAGTATTGCTGTGTAGATTAATTATACTTTTATTATTTCTCATGTTTATTCTTGAAAGTATACCAAAAGAAAAAAAACACAAATTAAACACAATTTAAATCTCTGAGCAATTAAAACAATTAGAATTCATTTATAGCGTATTTTTAAAAATATGTTTTCATTGATTTCAGAGAAGAAGGGAGAAGGAGAGAGAGAGATAGAAACATCAATGATGAGAGAGAATCACTGATTGTCTGTCTCCTGCACACCCACCACTGGGGATCAAGCCTGCAACTAGTGAATGTGTCCTGACCAGGAATCAAACCGTGACATCCTGGTTCATTGGTTGATGCTGGACCACTGAACCACACCAGCCAAGCTATGGCATATTTTTATATCTTGTTTTTTTCTGTAAGATATCAAATGCTTCAAGGTTAGGATCTATGTCTTAAGTGTTTCCCCCATAGCATGATGATCCTTTATGTGTCTAATGCCAAGATTATTCTTCAGTTCATAAACAGTTAATTTAATCCACTCTAATTGGTATGCCAGGTCCAAATGAGAAATACCTGGAGAAGTAGGCACTGAGTTGACATGTAAGGCTTCTATTTAACGTCCTCCACAAACACATTTGCAAAATAAGGAAAATGTCAGCACCCACCTATAGGAATGTTGTGGGTATCAACTGAAATATGTTTAAAGCTCTTAGAACAGCATCTTAGTACTTAAATACTTTAAAAAATTATAGGTGTTATTTTTATTATCAATCAAATTATAATAAAATAATTATTAAGACTAATCATTTTTATTCATCTTCTATGAAAAATGGCACAGACTCTCAGGTATATCTCAATGTATAGGATAAATTCACCAGTATAATTTTTTCAGCATAGTAAATTTGCAAAAAAATCTTTGAACTCTTTCATTCTATCCCACTCGTTTCAACTAACCGTGAAAGTGAATACATGAGTTTTTCAGAAAATGATATTGAGCATCATATAAAATAAAATCATATTTAATAGAAGGTAAAAGTGCTGAAGTTCTACTATTAGAAAAATCTGATAATTCAGTTTTAAAATAATTCAAAAGTATGGATAAAACAGACTCTGCTGATCTAGAACAGATTGAAAGTTAAAAATAAAAAATACCAATTATTTAAAAGAAAGTGAAATTTAACGTTCTTCAAACAATGCAACAAATATTTATTTAGGGGTTATCAAGAGAAAGGACAGCACTCCCTGTCTTCAGGGAGCTTCCTGGGAAGGTGGTTCAGGAGGAGGTGGTTTTAATATGGCATACGTGCTATGATAGCATCAACCCAGAGAGGGAACACCAAGCCGGGCTTAGAGTTTGAGGACAGTTTGAATGACAGGATTCCTCAGCTGATTTGAAAGGATGAAGAGGAGTGAGGTTGTCGAAGAAAAGCAAAGAACAGCATGGACTGAGGGAAAGAAGGAGTCAGTATGCTTGCTATTCAATATTGCTAGAGCAGAAACTGCCTGGCCAGGAGCAGCCAGGGGTAAGGCTGGAGAGTGCTAAGAATCCAGAGCACCCGAGGTCCCATACAGAAGAGCTGGGCTTTGTTTTGTAGTGATAGGGAACCAGTTATATTTGGTGAGATTATTTTTCCCAAGACTTTATGGAAAATATTCTATTTTGGTAGTAAACATAATGTAATCTGGCCTGAATCAAAAAAGTAAAGAGATATGTAGAACAAAAGCCCAGGCACTGCTTCAAATTATAGCCATCCTAGCATAGAAATATAGATTGTAAAGCTAGAATAAATATTAAAGATCACTTAATTCTACTCCCTCAGTTTGCAAATAAGAAAATTTAGGTCCATAGGCAATCAGAGGCTTGCTTAAGATCATATTTATAGAAGACACAGCATTGTTTTATGGTTAAGGTGTGAACATACACAAGCATCACAAATATATGCAAACATTCAAAGAAAATGCCATTATAAGGAGGTAAGGCTGTTAAACTGTGTGACTAAGAGAAACTAAAATTTTGTAAAGTGAGTCATCAAGTAATATACTGACTCACCGACTTGGTCTATCAGAGCAAGAAATTTAGTTTTTGTAAACTGACGTATTACCAATCTACACACACACACACACACACACACACACACACACACATACACACCACCTGGAAATAACTAAGTGGCATTATGTATGCCTGTATTCTAAGTGGAAAATCAGAATAAAGCATGAACTTAGCATGCAATGATATTTTAAAGAAAGCAAATATAATTGAATTTCACTTCATAAACATTTGGCTTTTTTCTTTACTACATTTTGAGTGCCATAAGCTCAAGGGTATTTTTCCCCTCCTATATTGGTTTGTCCTAAAATGAAACTTGGCAAAGGCAAGGAACCATAGTAACCGAAATTTTGTGAATATATTATTTATTTAAAGTACTAGTATGTCTTACATAGTATTTACTAAATTATTTTGCTTCCTGTCGATTCATCTATGCTGATGCTTCCAAGAGATTCCATATGCTTAGATGTAGAAATAAGGTGAAATATTTTGAATTTCAGAAGTTAGGCCAAATCAATCATATCTCCAGATTTTTCTTATGCTTTCTATTAACTACATGAAGGAAATCATGAAGGAAATCAGACTGGGGACTTTGAGAACTGAATTAATCACCTCCCAAAACTATTTCTCTGTCAGTGTTTCCTAACTGAGAAGTACAACATCATCTACCACAATGCTGAAGCACAAATTGGGAGAGGGTCTTGATTCCATGTCTCACTCACCTTCTACACGCAGTAAGTCAAGTTCTTCAATTCTATCTGAACTAGCTCTGAGCTCTATCCACTTATATTCTACCATATTTTCACTGCTCCACTCTAGTCTACTGGTCTTTTACATTAACACTAGCTTTGCTGTAATCCACTTTTCTCACCATATTTTTCTTATTTATGCAACAAATATTAATCAAGTAACTACTTTGTGCCAAACAATCTTCTAATCAACATTTCTATTCCAGATATAGTACAATATCTTTTTCTTTTCTTTTCTTTTCTTTTTTCTTTTTTTTTCAGTGTTCAGCTTTCTATTAGACTCCGCCTCTCGGAGGAGCCCACTCCCCGTGGGTAGGGTGTTCTGGGCAGGGCAAGGGGGCTCTGTCACCCTGTCCTCAGGAGGACCGTGTGGGGTGAGGTTCGTGTTTGTGGCAGTGTCTGGGAAAGGGCTTCATGCCCCGCATGGGGTGCACTTGAAGTGGTGCACAGGGCCCTTCCTGTGGGGACAACCCGGGGATGGGCAGGCAACAACTGAGCCTGGGCTCTCCTTCGGGGTCTTCCCTTGGCACCTTCAGGCCCAGCCCTCTGGCCCAGATCCCTAGATGATCCTTCCTTGGAGGGCCAGTGGGCACACCTGCCTCACAGTGGCTGTGTGATCCTTGCCTGGCACTGCCTCTCTGGGCCTGTTTCCTCCACTGGGAGCTGGGCCCTAATCCCTCAGAGGGAGGCTCCCCTGAGTAGGTCCCCTGGGCATGAGCAGGTGCAGACTGTGTGTGTGTGGAGCAGGTGACTGGAACAGGGGCTGGACATGGGGGCCTTGGGAGGCCTAGTCGTCTTTGACCTTGGCACCGTGCTTGAGGATGCGGGTGAACTCCACGTAGTTAAAGTTGCCTTTCTTGTCAATGGGTGCCTCACAGTACATCTTGTCCACTTCCTCATCTGTGAAGCGGTCACCCATGGTGGTGAGCAGCTCCCGAAGATGGTCCTCATGGATAAAACCTGAGGCCTCTTCGTCGAAGCAGGCAAAGGCATTGCGGATCACGTCCTTGGGGTCCGTGCCGTTCAGCTTCTCCCCAAACATGGTCAGGAACATGGTGAAGTTGATGGGTCCAGGGGCCTCGCTGATCATGCTCTCCAAGTACTCATCCGTGGGGTTCTTCCCCAGGGAGGCCAGCGTGTCATGCAAGTCCTCCTTGTCAATGAAGCCATCTCGGTTCTGGTCGATCATGTTGAAGGCCTCCTTAAACTCCTGGATCTGGGACTGATCAAACATCGCGAAGACATTGGATGTGGCCCGCTGTGGCCGCTTCTTGGTGGTCTTGGCCTTGGCTCGCTTACTGGACATCTTGGCTTCAGTGGGTGGGGCTTCCCTGGTGCGGAGAAGGTACTCTTGGTGCACAGAGCTGGTGCGGAGCTGGGTCAGTACAATATCTTTTTCAGAGAAAAAAAAAGTTCACTGAGAACAAACAAGATGCTGGGGTGGGAGGTGAGGGGAGTGGAACCCTAAAAGTTACATTATAAAAACTGACAAGTTAGTGAGGAATTACCAGGTCAAATCTTTAGAGGTAGCCAAAACTCAAAGGCATAAGTTCGTTTTTAAAACATAGGAAAGTAAATTACAGAACTGAGTTCTATATTTATAAAATGGAAACAAATATCAAAGGCCTAACCCTGTTTTAATTTTTACTAGATTCTCTTTATTCTAACACTAGAGGCCTGGTGCACAAAAATTTGTGCACTTGGGGGGATCCCTCAGCCCGGCCTATGCCCTCTTGCAGTCTGAGACCCCTCGAGGATGTCCACCTGCTGGCTTAGGCCCGCTCCCTGAGGGATTGGGCCAAAGCTGGCAGTCAGACATCCCTCTGGCAGCCCGGGAGCCCTCTGTGGATGTCCACTTGCCAGCAGGGAGCAGGCCTAAGCTGCAGTTGGACATCCTTAGCGTTGCTGAGGAGGTGGGAGAGGTTCTCACCACCACCGCTGTACTGGCAGCTGGCAGCCTGGCTTGTGGCTGAGCAGAGCTCCCCCTGTGGGAGCACACTGACCACCTGCATTGAGTGTCTGCCCCCTGGTGGTCAGTGTGTGTCAGAGTGACCAGTCATTCCCAGTCATTCTCCTGGGTCAGTTTGCATATTACCCTTTTATTATATAGGATAGAGGCCTGGTGCATGGGTGAGAGCCGACTGGTTTGCCCTGAAGGGTATCCTGGATCAGGGTGGGGTCCCCACTGGGGTGCCTGGCCAGCCTGGGTGAAGGGCTGATGGTTGTTTGCATGCTAGTCAAGCCCCCCTCCCCCAGTGGGGACCTCACCCCATGGAGGTTTGGCCAGCCTGGGTGAGGGGCTGATGGCTGTTTTCAGTCTGGCCAAGTCCCCCGGCGATGGAAGCTCCCAGCCTCTCCTTTTTTTCTTATTTTTTTAATTCTGGGATATATTTACCTTCTATAATTGAAACTTTGTTGCTTTGAGTGGGGCTCAGAGCCCGATGCAGCAGCTGGGAAGCTTGGCTTCCTCCATCATTGGGGCAACCAAGCCTCCTGCTTGCTCCAGCTCCGTGGATGCTGGCCGCCATCCTGGTTGGGTTAATTTGCATATAGCCATTCTGATTGGCTGGTTGGCGTGGCTTAAGGTATAGCAAAGGTACAGTCAATTTGCATGTTTGTCTTTTATTAGTGTAGATTGAACTTGGTCTCCAAGTGTCTACTTGATGCTGAATGTGTCATACAAAGTTCATGTGCTAAAACATAAGCTCCAGTGTGATGGTATCAGGGAAGTGATTAGGTCATGAGGTGGAGCTCTCATGAATGGAATCATTGCCCTTATAAAAATGTTTCAGGAGAGCTCCCTTGCCTCCTTTCTACATATGGAGATAGATAGAAGACAACCATCAGTGAAACAGGAAGTGGGCTCTCACCAGACACTAAATCAGCCAGCAACTTTATCTTTGACTTCCAAGTCTCTAGAACTGTGAGAAATAAATGTTGTGTAAGTCACTCAGTTTATGGCACTTTTGTTATAACAGCTCAAACAGACTAAGCCACTTGTTCTTGGTAAACATCAACCAGAAGTGTTGAGATATATATATATATATATATATATATATATATATATATATATATATATATATATATATAATCACTACTCACATTTCCAGGGAATTTCTTAAAGAGTTTCTCTGTCTCTGAGCAGAGAAAGGGAAAAAACAAACAAACAAACAAAATCCCCAAAAAACACAAATGGATAACTTCCCCTGAAGGATTTATCCATTGGCTGATCCTACTTAGATCTGCAGCCCAAATCACATCCCTAAAATTTAGGATTTAGTTTCAAATGGTGCCACACTGGCAGTGATCTTAAATACCCAAGGAGAATAAGTACAAATTGTTATGCCTAAAATTGTTGTAGTCAGTTAAGACAAGATATACTAGTAAGCAGAGCAAGGACTATGGGCCAGGTACAGAAGGTAATCATGGTGGAAAGCCCCAGGTGCCTAGCAATGGATAATCAATTATAGGTAGTGTGGGACCTTGCCCCCAGGTTGACCATTCCTCCCCTAGCATATTGCTGGTCATGAGATTTGGACTCCCTGACCTTTCCTCCCTCGAGATAACATTTATTCCTCAGTTGTATTTCAGCTTTAGGCCAAGATAAGCAAAATAAAACAACCTAGACTGACGTAAGGATCAGCTGCATTGAATAAAGACTTTGTGCCCTGGTGCCGGCCAATCAAGCAATGGAGACCACAATCTCGTTCTGTGGCATTTCCAGAACCAGAGAAGCAGCTCTGGCCTGGGGTTGGTGCCCTCTCAATGTGGCCAATGCTCTTTTTCTCATGGGACATTTTTATTCATATTAACCTATTCCTCTTTTTTCAAATAATCCTAAGGATGCCAAATAGATTTTTTAAAAATTCTCTTCTACCTCAGTAAACTGTTTCCTTCGAGGTCATTTGTTTTGGTTTATTCATTTTTGGTCCTTTTTTATGCTACTTGTTTTCCCTCTGTGATCTGAAGCATCCGATTTTGAACCAAGCTTGGTTGAGAACTGCTTATTTGATTCTGCATGTTAGCATTATCTAGGTTTTACAAAATAGTATTTGGCCCAAACTCAGATAAGCTAAATAAAAACTTCTAGGGTGCGGGGCTGGGCATCCAATTTCTTTTTCAAAGCTCCAAAGTGATTTTAATATACAGTTAAGTTTGACAGATTCTCTTAGACCTCTTTTTCTAATACATTGTGAAATCCTTGGGGGCAGAAACTTAACTATTATGTAGTCAGTTCTTTGTACATCGGCAAATAAAGGTTTATTGAATTCATAGTACTTTGAACAGTTCAGAATGTAGAAATTAAGAGTAATTGTTCATTTTAATTTTATTTTCTCAGACTTCCGGGAATTAAAAATTTCTGAAGATATATTCATCTCAATGTTCTGTATACATAAATAACCTAAATTAGACAGAAATCTATAACCCATGTGATAATAAGAAAAAGGTGTGTGTTTTTTTAATGATTTTATTTATTTACTTTTATGTATTTTTATTGCTTTCAGAGAAGAAGGGAGAGAAAGAGAGATAGAAATATCAATGATGCGAGAACTATTGATTGGGTGTCTCCTTCTCGCCCCCTGCTGGGGATTGAGCCCGAAACCTGAGCATATGCCCTTGACCAGAATAGAACCTGGGACCCTTCAGTCAGCAGGCCGATGCTCTATCCACTGAGCCAGTCTGGCTAGGATGAAAAAAGTGTGTTTTAATGGCTTATTAATTGCACGAAAGCACCCATGCATACACAGCCAAAATTCATCCCCATGTGGGTTCTCTATTTGTTCTTATAGTTGAAATAATTTAATATTTTCATTTGAGATGTGAATTTTCCAGTTGTCAGGGTAGCCATTTCCTTGATCACGTAATGCCCAGCATTAGGTTTGATGAGTTTCCAGGGATTACTTTCTCTCTCATTTTGCTTCCTATGCTAATAACTTGCTTTAGTTCATCTGGGATAATGTGGCACAGACTAATGAAAAAAAACTACCCAGCGCAGACTCTAAGCCTGGGCACTATGAATCACCAACCCATAGCTGTGCGGGGAGTTCCAGAGAGGAGCTGAGAAATCCCAGGAGGGAGCTTCCTTTATAAGCTGCTGCTGAACCTTGAAAGTGAGTCAACACCTAGGCTCAGAGCGTTACCTATTTTTTTTTTTAATCTGAGAGAAGCTGTCTGTAAAATGTAATGTTGAATAAAATTAATAATATGCATTATTTTTCATGCACTTTTATGCTCCAGTGCCGTGTGCCTTCTGAGGATCTTTTTGATCGTTCAGAACAGAGAAGTTTCCTCTAATTATGCCATGTTTGACTCAGAATCTTATTACGCTGACCTGCTCTCACATCCTCTTTCCTTTGATGGATGAGTCCTGCAGATGGAAGAACACTCTCGGAGTCTGCTGCTGGGAGAGAGACAGGCCAAATCCACAATTAAAAAATAATAATTTATTTCGATTTGGCTGTGATGCCAATTTTTTATTATACAGAGTGTCTCACATTTTCACAGGGCTGTTCCACAGTGGAAGTGTGGACCAGAAAATTATATTTTCACCACTGGAGTTCCTTTTTAAAAAACTGTTCAATTGTGGTCAAATGTACATAACATAAAAATTTACTATTTTCACCAATTTTTAGCGTGCAGTTCAGTAGTGTTAAGTATATTCACAATGTTGTAAAACCAGTCCCCAGAACTTTTTCATTCTGCAAGACAAATTCTATACCCATGAAGCAACTCCCCATTTTCCCCGCCCCCCAACGCTCTGGTAATCACCATTTTACTTTTTGTTTCTATGGATTTGACTATTCGAGACAGCTTATATAAGTGCAATTGTACAGAATTTGCTTTTTGTGACTGGCCTATTTATTTTAGCATAATGTCGTCATCCTCAAGCTCATCCGTATGGGAGTACATGTCAGAATTATCTTGCTTTTTAAAACTGAATAATATTCCATTGTATGTACATACCACATTTTGTTTATCAGTTTACTTATTAATAGTCACTTAGGTTGCTTCCATTTGTTGCCATTGTGAATAATGCTGCTTTGAACATGGGTTGGTGCTCCCTTTGATAAACATATTCTAATCTTCTAAATCACCTCTGTCCTACAGACAGCCAAATTTAATGATATAATTTTAGGATGAATATATATTTACTGATCTCTGACCATTTTTGATCCAGTTTCATGTGGATCAAACTTATATAACTCTTCAGAGGCTATTGCAATGAAGATTGACCTCACATCTCTCCATAGTTTTCTTGCTGAACAATCCTATATAATAAAAGCCTAGGTGGCATTACACCCTTGCCCGATGCTCTCATGTGACGTCATCACAAGATGGCCGCATAAGGTGGCTGCATGCACAGCGGAGGCGGG